GTGATCCTACTTAGGTATATAGTGACCCTGTAGTGTCGTACTTAGTGCTCATATTGTAATTATATCACGTTCCTGGTGACACTGTTGCGTCACGCAGCTACCCTAATTCTTTAAAAAAATTAATTGTACCCAATATCAGAAAGAATAAGTCCAATCCGCCAAGAGCACAAAATTGTTTCGAAAAGATTTCGCTGTTTATTATAATTCTTTAAATCAAAAAGAAGACATAGACAGCAATTCTTATTTTTATTGGGATAGCTACCATTTTACTAGTGCTTGGACCCGTGAACCCTTATCTGGATATCTGTACGGTTAACCATAATCCGGATATCATAAAATGCTTCACGGATAGTAACCGTATCCGTCAATTTTGGACGGATAACCTAACGGTTATCCGCGAGTATCCGCGGATAAAGGATATCCGTATGGTTAACCATATATCCGGATCATAAAATGCTTCACGGATAGTAACCGTATCCGTCAATTTTAAACGGATAACCTAATGGGTATCTGCGGGTAATGATTGGTGCCGTAATTCAAAATGCAATTTGTCATAATGCAGTAATTATTTACTACAAAAGTAGTAATTGTAATAATAATTACGACATGTCGTAATTATTACTACGTGTAGTAATGGGCCTTTCTAATGGTTAGTTACAAGATATTTATATTAATGACTTACTATTAAATTGCTTTAAATAGTAATGCTCCAAATCGGCATAATCAACATTAGAAAGGCCCAATAATTACTATGTTTAATAATTATTACTACGTACTGTAGTAATTATTTCCTCTTTTAAAATACAAGATTCCCGTTACGGCAATTACTTAGAGAGGAAGTCACAGGACATACACTTCCATCTCTAATAGAGGCTCTTTCTAATGTTGATTATGCTGGTTTGGAGAATTACTCTTTAAAGCAGTTTAATGGTAAATCATTAACATAAATATCTTGTAACTAACCATTTATAGAGTCAATTGCTTCAATGAGTAATGCATAAAAATTAACTTTAGAAAGGCCCAGAAATAACAATATGAATTAAAGAATACTTAGTATATTTTTATTAAAGACTAACCAGAAATAGAAAATTATGCCTCGTGACTAAAGATGCCTGACGAATGATGAAACCTTCGCCATTGACGATTGACGAAACTATTTCGTCAGGTTACCTCTAATTGACGAATTGATGATTGACGAAACCTATGCCGATTGACGAAACCTATGACAATTGACGAAACTTACGACGATTGACGGAACCTATGACGAAACCTATGAAACCTATGACGAAATCTGTGTTGTACGTACAATAGGTCAATTACCGTATTTGGAATGCATATGTGCTCTAAGTATTTAAAACCCACATAAAATAAAGCACATAAAATTTTCAAAAGTGTTTCGATGATGATAAAAAAAGTGTTTCAAACACTGCGTAACGATAATGCACAATTGGTACAATAGTGAAAAATCATAATAGGGACATACATACGTACGTTGTGAAAATCTTTTCAGTCTCTAATATCAACAAATAGTGTAATCTCTAACTCAACACTAAAATAATATCTCACAAGACCTAAAGTCTCTAATTGGTAGGCTACAATCGAGGCGTGGTTAAAATTGGTCTGAGCTTGGAGACTTTGGGTCTTGTGGGTATACTTCTAGGATTTGGATAAGTATCTTACTTTACTTTGAATATATTTTTCTTGTACTTATTAACTGGTTCAATACTAATATCTCTTCTTTCTTCTCTCTATATCTCAGGTATATTGCTTATTTTTAGGTCACGGGATCATGTGATTTATTTCAGCATCAGTGGATACTAAAATACGATTATATAGTTACAATCAAAATCGAATTACGTATGTATTATTTCAACAATGGGTTTAATCACAAAGGCAATCACTATTAATTTTTATATAAAAGGGGTCTCGATTACTAATACAATCTTTCTCTCTTTCTCTTAACGAATTACAATAATGGGTCGACAGGGTCACGGAGACAAGAAAATACGAATATACGACTATTACGAGCAATATGTTTTAAAGAAAAGGGTTTTGAACACTACTTGGATACTTCTACTATATTAATTTCGAAGTTTTGAGACCAAGAGTTGTTTTTTTATTTCGGAGAAGTTTATCGCTATATATACTTTTCTTACATACATGTAATAATAATATCGATTTTAACAATAAATACTATACTAACTATACTAATTATTACTATTTTACCAGGAATTTGAATAAATATAACGATTAACATAATTATACCCATTTTGATAATGTTGACGATCCTAATAATACTAATTATTTCGTATGACATCGAACTGTAGCAATGCCGGGGTGATAATTTCCACTACTACAACGTGCGTTGGAGCATCTAGAGAATAAATGAGTAGCAAAAGCCAAACTTGACCTTTGCTAAAACCAATAATTACTAAATTGAACTGCCCTGAGCAAGATTTTAAAGAAATATACGCTTTAATTAATCCCCACGACAATATGCTCTCTAAGCATTTTTAAACCCACATAAAATAAAGCATATAAAATTTTCGAAAGTGTTTCAAAATCTGCATAACGATAATACACAATTAGTACAAAAGTGGAAAATCATAATAGGGACGTACACACACAAATGTACTTATTGTAGTAATACAAATAAATATGTAATATAGCACGATAAGTTTAAGCTTAAATAGACACTGAGTAAATTCGATAGATTTTTTATTAAATATAAAAGGACAGTACCAAACTTGCGCTTGGTCATGGCATTAAATTTAAATATAAAACATTGAATTTTAAAATAAAACCATTACCCGCAGAAAATATTTTTGTCAGTCAAAGGCAATGCCAATTTATCTTAATGTTTTGGCTGTTGGGAGTTGGGTCCACACCAACATTATTAATTCTTATATTTCAAACTTTAATTCAATACATAAGATTTATTGTTGACACATGCCCCACCATTACACAACCATATTACTATTAAATCCGAATATTCGATTTAAACTATTCGCCATTTTTGGATTTGGTCACTAGTTTGATTTTGTGGCTTATCATACATGATTAATATGATGACATCCAACCACAGGTTTATAAACCTGATCTGCGCGAAAAAGTTATTTCTACTTTTCACAAGATACAAGAATTATATAACATGAAATATATGGAACAGGAAAACATACCTGACTTAGATTCTTTAAGTGATACAGAACCTGGGTCAAAAGAATATTCTAACGATACCAATCAAACGAAAAAATGTAGCAACCTATCTTCTGTAAAAAAAAGAAAAAAAAATGAAAGTAGAGTTAGTGCGACTTCATTGCCAGAGACATTAAATGAAGAAGATAATAATCAATATGATAATGATCATATAACTAACAGCATACTATCTGAAGATACTAATGAATATAATAGCGATCATGTAACTTGTGGTATGTCATCTAAAAATAATTCTGGCACGAATTAGTCATCCAAACCAAATCTTAAAGATCTTCAACTTGTACCTATTAACACGGTACCTGGAAAAAGTTGGATATAGAGTTATTATCAACAATACAAACCTGTACAACCATATAAATGGATAGTTGGGTGTTTGGTTAAAGTAAATAGATCTAAGCCATGTAGCCATTTAATGGGATCAGTGGATAGTTCGACGAGCAATTTTATTGGGCATTTGGTATCACGACATGCAATTACAGAAGAATTGTACAAACAAAAATCTCAGCAAAATCCAAAACAACAAAATATTAATCAAGTATTTCAAAGAATCGCAGCAAATGATCCTAAGAGAAAAACAATTCGAGATCAAAAGTTTATTAGTATGTTGATTAAAGATCAGCTACCTATTAATATACGAGAAGGGACCGACTTTATTGAATTTTTAGCAGAGTTTAATCCTAATTACCGGTTGCCTTGTGAAAGAACCTGCCGAAAGTTACTTACAGATGCTTTTTTAAGTTCTAGGGAGAATATCAAAAAAATACTTAATATTAATGCTTCCTCTTGTTCTTTGACTTGTGATTTGTGGACAGGACGTAACAGTATGAGATATCTTGGAGTAACATGCTCATTCATTGATAATAATTTTTGATTAAATAAATTGGTTCTTACAATCAAATATCTACCTTACCCGCACACTGGAGAATTAATTGCAGAAGTATTAAATTCTATAATTGATGAATGGGAACTAACAAATAAAGTTTTCACTATTACAACTGACAATGGAAGTAACATGGTTAAGGCTATAAAATGCATGCCTAATATCATTTGAATTCCGTGCACGGCTCACACCTTGCAGCTTGCTATCGGAAAGGGGTTGTTGGATGCTGAACATATCGTAGCATGTGCGAAAAGGCTTATGTTATTTTTTACTACGCCTAAGTAAACAGAAAGGTTAATCAATGCACAAAAAAATTTGGACCGATCTGAAAATATAGTAAGTGTTGAATTTAAAATTTCATTAGGGTTAAAGGTGGAAATTTAAGTTAGGGTAAGGGTGGTGCATTACTATTGGAATGAAGAACTAATTAATTATTTAATTATTTCAGAATTTAGAAAATAATGACGATCAATTATGTATTATTGCCGATGTCCCTACGCGATGGAATTTGTCTTATCTCGCCTAGAAACAGCTTATACAAATTTGGAGTATTATTAGTATGATGATAACTAATTTAACATTAAATAATGATTCGCAGGCTAAGAAAGATGGTTATCGCTTAGAAAAAATTAATTTGACAAGTGACGAATGGAATGCAATATCATTGTTAATTGTGGTGCTAAAGCCCTTTGCTGAAGCGACTGAACTGTTAGAAGGTAGCAATTATGCTACTATCAGTTTTATGTATAGCGCAATTATGGTAATAAAGCAAGGGCTTTCATTTACTAGAATTTCGGATATAGACTTTGATTCCTCTAATGATGTTTTTGAAGACGATGCTGATTATGATGATGACGAAATGCAAGAAAATGATGTATTAAGTGCGAAGCGTCGAATTAATATTAATATTCCACAAAATTGTAAAAATCTTGAAGAAAAGATAAAGTCAGCACTATATGATGCTATGATGCATTATTGGGATGTGCCTAGTGACGAAGCTGTGCTAGCAATGCTTTTAGATCCTTGATGCAAACCTCTTTCTTTTATGCCAGAATCTTTAAAAAATAAGGCCTTTGAATTGCTTAAAAATAAATATTAAGAATTACAGATTTTATATAGAATAGAAGATGATGATAATATACAAAATAATTCAAATTCTTTATTAGTCTCAATGTTTCATAATAGATGCACATGGTCGGAAGTTTCGGATTATCTTGGGGTTCAGAAAATTCTATGGGATCAGTGTCCACTAGCCTGGTGGCACACCAACCAAAAACGGTTTCCCATATTGAATAAGTTGGCCCAAAAGTATTTGGCTATTCCAGCAGCTTCGACTGCAAGTGAAAGACTTTTTAGTAACGCTGGAAATACAATGACAGTAAAAATAATATCACTCTTACCTACTACCTTCGAGCACCTAGTATTTTTAAAAAAATAATTGGCAGCTTACCGGAAGTGTATTTCCAGATGAAAAAGAAGGAGCCAAATAAAATGATATTGGTGTTAAGATGAAAAGAGGGCTTTCGAATATTTTATGAAAGCAGCTTAATTAGGAAATCCGACTGTGATGAATGATGTAATTATTATGGAATTGGAGCAAAATAAATTACCGAAATTATTTGAATATTGTATGAGAATAGTAATTTCTTTCAGATTCGATTTTAGATGATTTACGTGCTTCGATACACATAATATTACTATGATCAATTTTTCATATACTATCTATCCGGGTTACTAGGGATGTTAAATTGCGAATCTGGTCTGGTCCGGTCCTAGGACCTGAAACAACGGTTCCAGACCTGATACAAAAAACCGTTAGTTGATCGATCCCAGGACCGGGTCCTAAGCCGCAATCCTTCAAACAAGTTCATCCAATCAGATTGATATACTTTTTATAAAGAAAACTTTAATGAAAAAATTTTTAATTTTACTAAAATTTATATGATAATAATACATAATCTTGCGGACATCCATGTCCGCGAATATTAAAAAAATTTTTGACGTTG